CACTGCATTTAGACATATTACCATTAGATAAAAGTCCTTCTTCAACATACCGGGGAAGATCACTGGAAAGCAGTACAATTTGTGCTGAGCGCCAAGGTTCGAACCTGGCAATCGTTACTCCACCGAAACGTATGAAATACGTCTCTCTAGTGCTCTCTTAGATGACTCCTATCAAATCACATATCTCCATTACCCGCATTGATAGTTTGCATTTTTACATTATTTCTGTACTACAACTACTCCAATCTTAACCTTCACGTTCACTATTTTTGACCATCACGCGGTCTTCGCTCCTCACAGTATCTTTACTGCCGCTCGTTCGATCTATTATTCTCGTTGCCATGACGACTATTATCCTTTGACTGAAAACACAAAACCATTTCAACCGTCAATCTACTGCCCACGGAGATTTCACCGTCCCCAAGAGAGATTGTTGTGCACCCTAGACCGAAACAACGCCTCTTGAAAGCAAAGCAGCAAATTATCTGCTCTGATCAATAAGAAGACCTTACTGTGTGGTTTCCCGTAACCGAATTATTGATTTCGGGTTTGCTCATGTTACTTATTCCATCACTATTTTCACTCTCCGTTCATCTGACGACTGTATGCTATTGATTCTCACCCAACCCACATAGCCCTGAAATCTTCCTCCCTAGTCAGAACATGGTTTCATTGTTATATTATTGTATGTTGATAGGATTTTTATTCCTGGAGTGATTGATGTTTTGTTTTCTATATTATCAACTTTACGGAGACTGTTCTTCGGGCTGCACATCCTTCAATACCCAACTCTGTTAAACAGAAAATTTGGACCCCACACAAGATTCGAACAATCCCGCTGTCGTGATCTGCACATAGAGTAGCGGCGTCCTTTCTTATCAATCCAGATTGACTAAGGTGCGTGTATAGACTGTGCTTTGAGCATATGCACGAGCCACGCTACACACTCGTATGGACTATGGGTTGGACAGTGAAATTTGTTGTATTGTAATTTGCTGTACGATGACGATGATTATAATAACCAGGATGGTTCATGCCTTGGTTGTCTTTTGCTTCTCGCCCATTAATTTAATAATACGAAGCCCAAAATTGCTGCATTGCTGTTAAACGACCTTAGAACTTGCCAAATAGATGTTCCTCCAAAATGCCCAATTTTTGGAACACCGTTCACCTTGAAACATAAAAAAGAATCAACAAGTCTATTGAGAGTATTTTGCGAACGTACATCCTCGTCACACAGTGTTTATGGTTCATGCGGCTGACCTTCGTCAATATAAGTCACTTCCTTGTGTAACATCGAAAATGTGATGCCTGAAACAAGTAGAGGACAACTGGGTATTTTAAATTATGCAAAGACCCACTACGTTGGGTATTCGAAAAGCCCAATCGTGGTTGTCACATGGTGTCATCGTCTTATTGAATATCATAACAATTTAGACTAAGACTCATAACTGAAGGTTCAGACGAGGAAGCAAAAAAAAACAATAAAAACATTAGATAGTCAGGATTCGCTTCTACCTAAAAGTGTGATTCGATACCATGGGGGTAGAGTTCATATTGAGAGCGAAAAACGTTTGTTGATATGAATTCACAACAGAACAGTGGGGAATTTGATCACATTGTACAGTGTTTTGCATCGTATACAAAGCAAATAAAGCGAGAACGGAGAAGTCCGGAAGCACTGTACAGCTGTCTAGACCTTTAAGGGTCTCATTTGCAGTGCAAACTGGGTACAGGATCTTCGCATTAGAGGATAGTTTTGAGATCAGCGAAGTACGACGCTTGTTACAAGCCTGAAATGATAGATTGTGCTGCATAGTGAATAGACAAAGTGAAACTGGTCTGATCAGTCACTTAAGGTTGAAGTTAGTAGCGCGCTTGCGGTCTGGTTGTAAGTTCCGGGTTCGAGCCTCGATTGGGTTCATGGTGAGACCCAAGCAGATGGAAACAGTTGTACAATGCAGTTCACATTGTTTGCTCTGCAGAGAACGAAATCCACTAATCAATATGACTAAAATGCATCGCACAAGTGGAAATCGCATAAACTGTGCACCGCGATTTGTAAGCAGTAGGTGATTATACTTAATGGGATGACGATTTCGTCAACGATATTCAGAAAACTGTAAAAAGTGAATTATTCGACAGACAGAAATGCATCATGAATGCAAAGCTACTCACTTCCAACCTTTCGGTTTGCCGGGACGCAACGTGACCAGAAAAACGGGATCGTGGCGACGTAGACCTAACCACTCCTTGCGAACATCCGGTCTCAAACCAGCGAGAGCCACACGGACGTCCGCCCTGACCCGAGCAGGATGTTTAGAACCTAGGTGGGGTTTGGCAACTTCGACGATATTGAATGATTGAATTGGAAGAGCCATACGGGACCATCCATCGAACACGGCCTGACCCGATTCACCACACCAGGGTTTCAGGCGTAAAACTGCATCCTCAACATCCTATAACCATTGATAAAATGAAAATTGGGTGTTGTCGAAGTGTAATTTCTAAAAAATGAATTAAAAACAACTTACTGGTGCAGAATAAATGGTAAGATCAAAGCATTTCGTAGCGTCCGGACATCATCATCATCATCACCGTACAGCGAAATACAGTGAAGCGAACTTCACTGATCGCTGCCAAACTCGCAATGCATACAACGTTAGTGGTAAAATTCAAGGTGGACAGGGATTGGACCTATTTTGAGGGAGGGAGAAGGTGAGCCACCATGGTCAACACACAGAGTACGCAATCGAACTCTGCATACATACCGTTTCAAGCATTCTGACCTGATAAGAAACGACAACAAGAACGCCACTGCTGCCGGTTCGCTGCCATATACTTTAACGTCTCCAACCAACCAGTTGTGGAGTCTTCCGGACCCCAACCACGAAGGCGAGAGACACTTACTCTACCTAATGGCTCTGTGCATTTATTCATGCCTCGTCTCCACGTCATCTGTTGACCTCCACGTGGTTTCCTCCAGCCTGGATTAGCCACAGTGCGGTAGACGATGACTGGGAATACGCAATACGTGTCCTAGCCAGTGAAGCCTAGTAATCTGAATTCGGTGTGCGTCCTGACAAGGAAACGATTAGTCCTCTTTCACGTTACCCAACACCAACAAGTGGGACGACGAAAAGACGAAGTGAACAGTAAAGCTGAGACCCTAGATTCCACAGAATTTCATTGAACCTTTTTATATCTATTACCTCGGGTTCGTTTAACGGAATTCGTCACATAAATTCTTGTTTCTCCATGCTGGTAGAGGTGCGCACTGTCAAATACCGTATCAGCAATATAGCTCCGGGTAACGCAACACCATTTTTTCGATAGGATGACTTAATTTTGAACCACATTGTCATTCTAACTTTCATATAACATTATCCCTGAAGTTTGAAAATTAAAATTAAAAAAACTGGTCCCGTTGTTAATTTTTCGCTACAAATACTACTTACACAGATCGTGCCTACGGTTCACGAGGTTTATCTCTTTCTTATCTGTGATGCGAAAAGGAGTATTCTCTAACTGAACAAATTGCAACATACCTGCCGAATTTCGTACGTAGATTCCAGGCGAAAGAGGTTGAAATTACGCAACAGATAGTCCTGTAACGTGAGGAATTGCAAACCAAGTTTGGGCAACGCAAGACATCCCTCGCCTGAATAGTACTCGGTTGGGACACGATTTTCGTCCCAAATCAGTTCTTCTGTTGGATAGAGGGAGACCTCATTCATTTGCTCCAGTTCAGATTCCCGCCGAGCGAAACGATGAATTAAAATCTACAATTAATCCATATGGGTGCAAATGAGAATGTGGAATGATAGAATGGGCAGGGGTAACAGTATGAAACCTAATCAAAAAAAACGAAAGGGACAATATTGGATAATTTTGTGCGGAGTTCTGTGTGGTAATGAGCAGTTACTGAATCCGCATTTCAAATACCACATTACATTAATTAAAGCCCACCGCGGACGACTGGAGTTTGCAACAGAGAGGAATGATATTTACCGACGGAGTAGCCCACCCGGTGCGTGGGAGTTCAATGTTTCGTTCGCAGTCTCAATTTTTATCCGGATAGGTTAGACTGTATCTCTTCAGGTGCAAACTACAGATCATAGAGAACAAAACAATTGAAATAAAGTTCTTGTAAAACTTTGCCACCGTTCATGTTTCTACCAAGGCAAAGCCAAGCAGATGAACATTTCTTTCTGTTTTCACAGATTAAGCTTCTAGCATTGTGGTAATCGCCTGAATAAACTGCAATTTGCTGCTAGACAGTAAGTAGTGCACATCGGTCTAGGACAACCAAAAAATAGAGTAAAACTTGTACCATACCGTCATGAAAATTATTTGGCAGATATAGAGGCACATGAGAGGAAGGTGATCATTTTTTGGTGTGAATAATTCATTGCTTCTTACAGTGATAACTAGTTTACATTCATGATAGACAATGAATGCGCAAATCCAGGATGAGAACTGATCTCTACTGAAATTGAATTCATCGCCCCCAGATGGTGAGTCTACTGCCTCAATCTCCAAGATAGTTTGAAAGAATGAGAAACCAGACAGAATAATCTGCAGCAGGAAAAAAGTTGTACAAAGCTGACCCATAGATTGAGCACGCATGAAACCAAGTATATACTGACAGCAACGAACAAATAAGACAGTTTTCTCGGAATAGCGACTCCGATCTGGACCAGTTATCGGAATAAACCAGAGATAATTTTGAGCTTTCTAATGCACTTAATAATCAACTCATATTTTTGTACGTTTTACGTTTTTACCAGAATTGTAACGGTGGTCTATTTTGGCTGAAAGCTTGTATATAACTCGCTAAAGCTTCAATACGGTACAATACAATAATTGAGTAAGAGAAGTTTATCCAATAAGGTTTGTTAGAGCAGCACAACCCCCAAGTCCCTCCCCCTAATGAGGAATATCCCGTTGTCACCGGGGGCAATAATACAACTATCCAACTGAAACGCTGTATTGTTAGCCTATCCAAGCAATGTAGATTTCATTAACCATAAGTCAGATAAGCAGAAATACTCCAGGAGGTGTGATGAGAAACATCTTCCTGGAAAACAGAGAGATTTGATGACAGCTGTACAATAAGAAAGTCAGTGTGAATTAAAGTGGTCCCTGTCAATGGCACGGGCTAAGCTTCAAGGATCAGGGTTTGAAATCCGACACCGTCAATCAACTTTGGTGACAGACAGCTTAACCGTCCCTCAACTCAATACCAAGTCTATGCCTTTGATGCCCTATACGGGTTGGCATTCTGAGTTGTAGGGCTAAGGTGCCCGGTACTTTAATAATTGAACTAATTATTGAATTATGACAAGGGATGTGCATAAACGAAACCGGTTATTCTACTTTGAGCGAAGCCAAAGTACATCTCAGAACTTCGATCACCGAGTCATGACTCTGATCGATCGGACTGTAAAAACTACATTTGAGGACCACGATTAAACTGACTTAGTGTCCATCAAGAAACTTTCGGGGATACCATTTGTCTTCCTTAGTGTGTTAGAACTTGTGGAAGTAGTTCTCAATCAAGCCGTTAGTCGAGAAATAACGATAATGCATAACTAACTTTGTTTAGCAACTTGTGACGCCTTTACGAGAAATCCTAAAACATTATTCCGCAATGAAGAAACCAAAATGAGGGCCATCTTTAACTAAATGCAATGTGCCAACATGCAGCAATGAAAGCAGAAATTGCACTCATACCCGAATAAGCAGTTCCTTGTCCATAAGTTTGGAATCTAGCCTCGTCCGCAGATTGGACAGGAAGTCGTTTGAATCGGTTTTGGTATCCATTTTGGCCCTTTTTGAAGCTGGTGAACCGTCATCCTTCTCCGACAGTTCAGTTGTCTCCACTCGAGGTGGTACCAGAGCAAACGCATTAGCTAGCTGATAGAGATCTTTTGTCGTTAAGGAGCTGAGATGCTTGCGCAATTGCTGAGATGTCTCAACACCAGCGGGGTGGGATACGGCCAACGGGAGGAGTTTGTCTTTCAGCAGGGCAAATGCCTTCAACTGTAGAGCAGTCAGACGAGCACAATGGCTATAAAAGAATACATAAGATGAACAATTATATAAAGAACAAAACATCTTTGTCTTATTGGAATAAATTCAGATAAAATATGGTGAAAACTGACGGGAAAGTGTGATTGGTTACAAACACAAAACGAAATCAGTATTTGAATAAAGTTGGTAACGAAGAGCGTCGGATCAAAGACAGCAAAACGAAAGAACAAGATAATGCGAAAAAATGGAGCATACAAAAAGCGCGAATTTATTTCATCAAAAGCTATCAACAGGTGCTTACTGCTTATCCAGGGCGCTCTCATCCAATGCCTCGCCGGTTGCCTCGTCGATTTGAAAATGTGTATAAAAGGCCAGCATGTCCACCAATTCCGCGAAAAGCTTGCCTTCGGGGCGTTTGGTGAGAGTAGCAGTTTGACAGCGAACAACCAAGTGACGATCGTCAACCACCACATTGAGCAGTCGACGCGTGAGAAGCATACTCTCCAGATCCACAAACAGTAAAACACAACGTTCTAGGTAATGAACCAGCAACGGCTCCAGATTCTGTAAAATAGGGGTGATAAAATAGGTTCATTAAAAGAGCCGGTCATGATTGAGCATAAACGGAAATCGTTTCACTGATTTGTGGAGTAGCCATGAGATACGGGATTGACAGATTGATGAAAGCATGTCTCGTAATTCAATTTTGCAGATGAAGAGTATATTAAAATCATAAAGGAACTTTTAACATAGCCACGAGAGAACATAAGTAACACGCTAGTGCCATCTGTTCATCAATTCTTTTACTTTTACGATTATAGTTTAGGAATCGCCGAAGTATTCGAGTTTACGAAGCGTTTATCGCTCAGTTTGTCGTACAGAGCGGTGTTGCTCAGCATTATTCACTTTCCTCCTCTCCTTTTTACTCTCAACTTGGAAATGCATGGTTTCAAAAACATCGTAGTCCTTAGACGAGAATACGGGTGTTGGTGTGGTCTCTGAAGACAAGTAGCCTGACATGGAGTAAACAAGTGCGACAGATTCAGCAAATTCTCAAACTTTTTTTCGAGTTTCAGTGCTACTATGTTTGGTCTGCGTTTCGCACCTGCAGAGGGCAAAATACTGTCACAAAATTGAAGAGATTCTGTATCCAATCTCACGAAAACTGGAGAGGATACAGTGGGCGTCTAGGGGGACGGATTGCCGATGAATTTTCCGTATGCAAACGTAAGGCTCGGATGTTGCTTTTTAACCTGAGGCCACTTAGATTCCACCGCGATATCTGGTTTTCCGTTGGGAGTTTTTATATGGTGGGAGCTGACATGCAACATAAAAGCATGACTATTACGAGTAGAAAACCAACAGACTATCGGTGCTCGGACACTGCTATTCAACTAGCTGGTGTATGGAAATACATGACCGCTGGTTATACAAAATGGAACTAGCGAAACGGATGACATATCGAAAATATTAGAACACCTTCTGAAAGTTAGTTAACGAGCAAACTTTCAACAAAATGTGAAATAAGTCTGTTCGGTTTTTAAATTTACTTTAACGATGCCCCTTCAAATGAAGAAAAAAGTTTCGGGATTGGAAATATTATTTAGAACATTATCCTACTTCTAAATTCGTTACTCATTGAGTTCAATGATAAGGAAAAAACTGCACGCCGGAGGTGACAATATCCTGCCATTGTACTTACCTTGGATTCATTCACTGTGGGAACGGAATCTAGTAGAGACAGGAAGACATCCATGAAATAGGGTAAAAATGAATGCTGGAGCTCCAATTTCTCGCGCTCTTCCTCAGAGATTCGTGTACTGTGGTACTTTTGCAGTTTTTTCAGCAGGCGAGCATACCGCGGATGATTCTTCAATTCCAGTTCAAGTCGCACCGGTTGCAAGTAGCCACGCCATACAGACAGACTATACAATTCTCGTAGACACTTGCGCAGCACACCGACTTCAGCCAGATTAGTGAAGCAGTGGGACAGGAAAATCAATGTGACAATGTGCTCCAGCAGCAGCTTCTGTTGTTGCACCTCTGTGAGGACAGCCGGATTCGCATCAGGGGTCGCTTCCGTTTCCTTCTTTCCTAAATTGTTTCTATATGTGATCAGTGCAGGTGATTCATCCAACAGGAGTCGCAATACACGTTGGATGAGACCCTCAAATTTATCCGGAGTGACCATGAATATCTGCGGGATGAAATATGGGCAGATAAGAATAGAAATTAACTGACTCATGAAAGGTGATGGAAAGATTATACATAACGTACAAGGGTCAACGGATATCGTAAAGAAGTTTTAAACGGACTTTAAGTGGTTCGCAAATAACAGCAGCATTAAGCAATTTTCTATTGCACACCTACATGTGATGAACAGCAGACAGGGCGAACCCCATGGTCACGAGGACGTGCTGTTCGGTGGTGGAAACCGGCAACCTAACCCCGGGACTTGGAGTGGCAAACTACATAAGGCCCAGATAGATTAGATGTGGTACTGAACG